TGGGTGTCCCTGCTGGAGCAGGAAGGTTGGACTAGATGATCTCTAAAGGTCCATTCCAACCTCAGCTCTTCTGTGATCCTGGGAAATGAAGGCCTTTACATGGCTTTCTGTTCTCCAGAGAACTAAGAATTTGGGACTATGACTTGGAAAACATGCTTCAATTTTCTGTCAGTAGCTGTTAGATGTTTTATTAGCACACGGATACCTCCGTGTTGTTTCTGCTGCGTTACCAAACAGGGAAGATGGAGCCTGCGAGAAAGACCATTCCCTTCTCCTTTTCCAGGAGGAATGAAGCACACTGCCTGCCCCTCTGCATGTGGACAAGTGCCACATGCTGACTTCAATTTTGCATTTGCAAAGGAATAATTGAAGATCAGAATCTGGCTCTGCAACCTGCCTGAGAGGAACAGGAAGTTGTGGGACCTGAACCCAGAAAGAAAATTCATGTCTACTCGGGCCTGGAAAACAGCCAAACAATTTATAGTTACAAGAGATTAGAGCTCCCGTCCTAATTCTCTCTGCAGATCCCCGGCTGCCTAGCGCCTCATATCCTGTAAAGTCAGAGCGAGCCCTCGTGCCCTCCCACGCACGTGGCACCCGGCACACGCCGCTCTCCCTGCGGGGCCTCAGCAGGCTACAGATTCGGGAGATTTTAGTCAGCACCAAACCTGACAGTTTCGCTGCCTTGAATGGATGCGAACAAGAAATGCTGGGCCTGGTTACATAAATTTTCTTGCCCTGCTGGTAAGAGCTTTCCTGTAGTCGATGTGCAGCATGTTGATGGGGTAGGTGTTTGGTGGCAAGCTTAATTAAGCTCTTAGCTCACTTTAGACCGTAGCTCACTGCCTTGAAGATTCTGTACAAAATTTTACCTTTTGGTTCAATTTGGTTCAATTTGGTTCAAATTTTTCATGGCCATCAGGGTTGGGACGCTAGATGCTTTCTGGAGCTCTCAATCAGCTTTGTCACATTTGGCCAGTAAGGTCTCCAACGACACAGCAGAGCTGGTGCCCCACTCCTTGGCTGTTGGTTTGCCCATCTATTACCTGCAGTTATGGACTATCCTCCTGCCTGGCCCAGGATGTCCCACAGACATACGTGACCATTTGTAGAGCAGATTTAATAGTCTTCATTTGGACATATCAGATGTGACTCTTAGAAGGTATGGCTGTTTTAGCCTTGCCGTTGTTGCATTTTAAAATACTTCTCCCAGTCAGATTATTAAAAAAGCAGAAGGACATTTATTCCCTTTCCACGCAGTAATCTGCATATATCACTCTTGCCAACCGTAATGAAAGTTACATGTGTAAAACCCTGGTGGCAGATCGTGATAAGGCAGATCTGACACACATCACTCTGCAGAGAGGGATGCTACAAGACTTGGACATCTGCGCCGGGGTGCCTCAAGGGAGGGCTGCATGCACTCGATAGTGGAGTGGAGAGAGCTCAAGCAAGTCGGATGCCAAGAGGGTGGGCGACCTCAGAAGAAAAATCCATTTGAACTTGTCTCACCCAAAAGAGCAGAGAAAGGCCAGGCCGGTTTCGCCTTTCCGTCCTTAACAGAGTTAGTGCTGCTGGAAGCAGAAAGGAAGAAGGTCCAGGGAGCAGACAAGCCATCCCAAACCAGCAAGCTGGCAGGTTTAGCACTGGCATGATGGGTTGCCTGCTTCCTTCTTCCCTTCACCTTCCATTTCACAACAGGACCTTATGAGTGCCTTGTGGACGTTCCCTTTCCAAACAGCTCCCTGTGCCTCTACAGGACATTTTTTTTTAAACAGCAAGCAGTTGCTGACTTGTCTTACATCATTTCCCATACTGCCAGCAGGAAGAATTATTTCTCTGTCTTTCCATTAAAAAATGGCATTCTCTATTTACTTGAATGACAGTCATACCTTTCCCCCTGCTTCTACTTTAAATATTTTTGGCTATTACTCATAGCTGATTTAGAACCGTAGTACTGATTTCCTTGCCAGGGCTCTGGCAGTTTGGTCATACAGCACAGCTCCTGCTTGTGAATAATGGCAGCTAGGCTTGAAATCGAGCCAAGCCTCTGATAGATCTCATGCCTCTGCTTAAAATGATAGCCCCTCAGTCCAGCCAAGGGGAAACGGAGCCTGGGACCAGCTTAAGGAGCAGAGTTATCACTTGCAAGTGAACTAACTCCAGGCTTGGAAAGCTTCAAAAGAGCTGGCAGCCGGAAAAACCTCAGAGGGAAAGCTTAAAATCATCAAGCCTGGGCGAAGGTTTCAGATTTAGGTTTATGATTTGTTGTTTGCTACTTAATGTTGATGCAGCAAGGCTGTTTTCTAGCTCACGCACGTCTTTGAACGCTGCACTCAGCTGGCTCACAGCCCTCTTTTCCGCGCTTAAAGAAAGTGGAGTCCAGCAGCTTGTTAACGCAGAAGGATGCAGCTACCTTTTCCCGTACATTAAACGCTGACACAAACTCTCGCAGCACGACGTTGCTCAGCATCCACAGGCATTTTCTTCAAAGAGCTCAAAGCAGAACTTCAGCAGCCAGAAGAAATCCAGGAGTCTCGGCCATGTGGGTTGGCCCGGGACTGCCGGGTGTCCCTGCTGAGGATCCCACTTGTTTGCAGGTGCCAGCGCAGTCCGTGTGTCCCCTTGGCCAGGGTGGGCCCCGCTCGTGGCCCCGCTCCTGGCGCCTGCCACGAGAGGGAACCCGCGCCGCGCGCGCCGGCCTCGCTCGTCCCCGTGCGGAGAGCCCGGAAAAATGCTGAAATAAAAGGCAGATCTGCAATTAGAGAACTTGCTGGACCCTGGAGCGAACCGGAGGGAGAGCTGAAAAATACCAGGCACGGAACGGCTCCAGAAATAAAACATACATGAGACAGCAGTGAGACATATCTTATTCAGGGAAATCAGAATGAAAAGGAAAAAAAAAAAAAAAAAAAAAAGCAGCTGATGTTGCCATCCTAGGATGGCGAAACGCTAGTGAGCAGAGAAGGAGCTAAAAAAAGACCTTGCAAAACATAACCCGACACAGTGACAGCTAAGGGTGAGACAAGATAAATATGCAGTGAAAATGAAAATCAAGAGAGGAGGGGAATTCATGGCTACAAAGACAGAAGCTGCCCCGAGCGGCGGGAGCGCAGGAGCAGGCAGCCCGCGGGCGCTCCCGCGGGGAGGCTGCGCTGGCCGAGCGCGGCGCCGCCGGCCTGCACGCCCGTCCCTGCCCAGCAGCACGGACACAAGCTGCCCGCCGGGCCCTCGGCCGGGGCAGGAGACCCGCGCAGGGCCCTCGGCCGCGCGCTGCTCCGCGGCCACCGCGGGCAGCGGCGATGCTGCCTCTTTCCTCAGATCCAGCAGCTTAAGAACCACTGTAAATCTACTGGCAGCTGCAGCAGGAACCCTTGGCTCTCAGAGGCTGCAGGACTCCCCCGGGATGCCCTTCCCTAAACGGCATCAGTCTGGCTTGAGTTTACTCCGGAACCAAACCAAAGCAGGGGCAGGGGAGGGAAGGTGTGCGTGGTATTGTCCAAACATCCCACTGCAGTGGTTTTGGAATTAAACAGTTTTATTTTTCTCATTCTGATTGATCATCAAGAATGTTTTGCTTTTAAGTATAGAGCATAAGAATAGAAGAGGCAAATCAAACTTTTAAAGGCAGTGGTCCACGGAGTCTGAATCACTCTGATGTTTACTGAATAAAAAATTGCACTGAGCACTCGCAGAATGACTATATCCAGGTTCAGCAAGGAGAGCACTGCTATAAAAAGGGTAGGGTTGAATGTTTTCTGGAAAAGGAGCAGGCCCCGTGTCCTCGCTGTGCTCGTCGCGGGCAGGCCTCACGCTGGGGCGCTCACCGAGGAAGCTGTAGCAGTCAATGCTGGCAGGGCGGCCGCAGAGCCGGCCCGTGAAGTCTGCACAGAGGAAGGCCTCCAAGGGAGCTCTTGCCAAGGCTCCCGTTTCCCTGATGTTCACAAAGAATGCTCTGCTTGCAGGACCATGCATTTGTTGTGCTGACATCACATCCTACTATCTTCCTTTATGCGGGCAGGTGAAGGGATTTCAATGTACAAAAGCATGGCAGAATGATTTAATTTTACATTTAAAAAAAAAAAAAAAAAAAAAAGGAGATTACTTAGAATCGGACTCTGACTCAGAAAATGCAGCTCCTGGCTCATGATCTTCCTGCGTGGCCTCAAGCAGCTCATGTAGTGAGTCCTATAGGTGCTGGCAGAGAGGCCCAAAGCTCCCTGCTGCATTTGGACCAGCTCCTGCCCGTGATCCAGGGCACCAACAGCGCCGTGACCTCTGCCAGGCTTGATGCCCCTGAGAAGGGATACCCACCTACCTTGGGAGGAAGAGGGGGAATCACATCGGAGAGACCAAATCCACCAGCGATTGTGAAGTATTCAAATACTGTCATGGCGTAGGCGGCCGGAAAAGAGCTGAATTGTTATCATGCTCTATTTACACCTACTCATGGACTTACTGATTCATACCAAGAGCATCTGGAGGATACACTCTATTACATTTACTGTTTTTCACTGCAGGCAAGAATGTGCTGTTTGAATTTAGCCCATCCTTCTATGTCTTTTCACGCACCTCTTCTCTATGGAGGTCCATTTCTTGAAATGACTTTCTGTAGCTTTTGGACTGAGACCAACTTTGAATAAAAACTCATGGAAGCACTAGAGGCTTCTGTACTATATCTGACATATTTTGAAATTCGCTCCCAGGTTTTATGCTAAATAGTTTTGTTGCTTGTTTTTAAGGCTAGGCAGATAACTTATTTCAAATGACCACAAGTGACAGGTGGCCTGGAAAGACATAATAGGCAAAGACCTTCTGTCCTGGGCTTGCACTGTGTTACATAGTTACACTCAGTATTTTGGAATTTGCATAAATTGCATTTTTTGCTTTCATAATAAAACTTTTTCCTTCCCAGCAATGCTTTGGGATTCATACTAGGAGACTAAAATTATGTAAAATGGTGAAAGAGAAGACTGGAACGGTAATATTAAAACACTTACCATCTTCCATACATTATGACAGTAAATGCTGTAGAAGTTAAACTGTCTGTGGACTCAGCATGGACAAGGTGCCAGGAATGTGCAAGTTCTAATCTCATCTCTGCAGCCGAGTTAGTTCTAGAAACAAGCATAAGAGAATTAACTCATCACACTTTATTGCTTGAAAGCATCTATAAACTCAAATCGTATTTCAGAAATTCTTCTATAATTGATTCACGGTTTTACTACAGTTATTTTCTTAATGGCGTTTCCAGACCATAATTCTTAATACTTATGCCTGTCCAAAACATAGAAGCTTCTTTCCTGATCCATAGCAGGAATTATCAGGACAAGGAGCCTGTTCCCAGGGGACAAAGATCCTTATCATTTTAGCATGAATTTTGTTTGCCACAGGATTTGTTAGCTGTAGCCACGTAATCATTTCATAAGCTCCTTTAGGTGTCAGAATCCATTACAAAATCTCCTGCCTAGGAGATGTTTCCATCCTTTCTTCTTCTCCCTTTTCCTCTTTTAAAGAACTGAGATAATGCTTATGAAAGATGCCAGATCAAAAGCCCTGAAGTCCTCCTTGTTACACTCCAAATCCCACGTCAAGAAACACTCATCTCTCCTCCCTGGCGCGACTCTTAACCCTCTGTCTAATAAAATAATTGAAACCTGCTCCGAGGCTCTCCTGTGCTCAGCCATCTCCCTTGAAACTCCCAGAAAGGATGCCCAGCTGTTGGCCTTTGAACCCACAATGTGAACATAGAAGTCAAAGTAATTAGTTTAATACATCTAGAGAGCATACAAGTTCCTCTCATGTCTGGGTCTGATCCTGCAAAGGACGGCACATCCTCAGCTGCCTTTGAGGATCTCTAAGCACTTCTGAGAAGGCGCTAGATACAATTAAAGCTCTAGATGAAATGAGAATGCTAATATTAAAGGAATGATAAGGAGATTTTACATTAATAAAATCTAAAAAGGAATGCAAAAATTATAGGAGATGGAGAATGATAACAAAACCCAGAATTAATAGCAAGGAATGACATAAAGGGGCCCAAGAAGAATGAGGCCAGCAATAAAGGCAGAGATGGAGTAATGCTAACCACTAAGATATCAAGCATGGCCATAAACCTGCTACTAAAACGCTGGCTCATGAGAGCAGAAGCGAAGCTTTAAGGGATGACTTTAGGTAGGGTTATTTACTGCTGCCTCCTGGGCAGCAATAGGGACCGTACCCGGCACTGCCGCCGGCAGCAGCAGCAGGACCGAGGGTGACCGAGGGGCAGGAGGTGTTGACATGAAGCCCTGAGCCCCTTCTCCTTCCCCGGGAGAGCAGTGTCTTTGCTGGCTGCCACACGGGAAGGCCAATCCGCCAAGGCTGGTTCCACGTGCATGCAAGGGGAGCTGCCGCAGGCCCCTTTGCCTCCTAACGGAGGTGAAATTGGCCTTCCAGGCCCGTGTTCCCTGCAGGCCGCCTCGCTGCTCCCCGGGGCTCCCGGTGCCCGGCGCTGCCGCTCTGCCCGCAGGGGCTGCAGCCGCCCGGGCTTCACGCACTGCAGCTACGGGAGGCGACCACAGCCTCTAACCAACCTGCTGCACGAAGGCTGCTTCAGCAGCGTATGGCACGCGGCGCTCATTCCTGACGGAAATGGAAGCAGATATTTTAATGCAGTTGGAATGCAGGGCTGGGAAGCTTGATTCAGCAGCACACTGTGTGCTGGGCTCATTTATAGCATTAGCGGAAGAACTATTTTTTAGGTGCTGTTGGAAAAAGGTGCTTCAAGATTTTTTTTTCCTTTTCACTGCAGAGTGTTTTTAAGAAATACATTTGAGGGATGTTTAGACGTTGCAGCACATGCAGGGGGCACAGCAAGGCGGTGCAGCTCCAGTGAAGACCTTGCATGCAGAGCCCTCAGCATCGCAGGCTTCATGGCCTCAGCTTCCACTGCAAGCCCCCCAGCAAAAAGACAGTGGGAAAAGGGCCCTTGGCTTTCCACAAGCTACGCAGCACCAGGCCTGCAACCACCCTGTCTTCTGGAAGAGGTCTCCGGTGTGGAGTGTGTTAACGCTCCGTCACCCTCACAGGAATGAAGTTCTTCCTCACATGGAGATGGAACTGCCTGTGTTTCAACTTGCACCCATTGCCCCTTGTCCTTTCACTGGCCACCACTGCGGTGGCCCGTGTCACGAGAGCCAGGGTGTGGATGCTGCTCAACTTGGGGGCCACGTGCATGTGGCTGGAGAGCTCTGGAGGATCCAGCTGAGCTGGTAGGGCAGGAGGACGGGAGGGCGCGCGGCAGCCGGGGCCAGGGCCGCAGCGCGGGCAGGGGAGCCCTGCACAGACCCTCCTCCTGTTAGATACTGGATCTAACCTTTCTAGCTGGATCTAGCCTTTCTAGATCTAACAGGATGTAACCTTTCTAGCCTTTCCAGGCTGGAAACACAGCCTCTGTTTTGTGCCAGCAGAGCTACCAGCGTGGCTGACTTGCAAAATCAGGGCAACGTGCGGAAACGTGGACATACTGTGACCACAGGTATGTTATTTAGACAGAGGCTTTCAAATTGAAGCTTCTTAGTACTGTAAAATGCTGCAACTTAGCCCGATTCCAGCCTGCGGATTGACTTAAAATTGCATTAGAGTGTAGGTCAATGCACCAGAGATGACCGGGATCCCAGTGGATGTTACGGAGCAGCGTCCTGGATGGAGTTAACTTACTGCAACTATCCCAAACCCTTCAGAGAGACGGGCACGAACAAAGACGTATTTGTAAGAGCCTTTCATGCTGCCAAACACGATTGTGTCACACTCTGCATTTTTGCTGACATCTCATTTCCTCTCTCTTGTTTTGTGGTGAAGGTATAATCAGGGTTTATTACCAAGTCATCCTTCCTGTGGTAACAGATGGAAGTCACAAAAACAGCACAAAATAGGATTATTAACATCTACAGCAACCTTTTCAATACTCTGGCTGTTAATTTTGAGTACTGCAAGCTGGAAGTTATTATCATGTCCAAGTGCGCCCAATCTCTAAAGAAGGGAAAATAAATAATATAAAGAACCAACATATGTTTGACAAAATATCGATCCAAAAAGAGGCATGAAATATTTGCAAATGTACATAATAATAAAACATTACTAGGAATAATAAAGGAAAAGAAAATTCTGATGCAGAAATCACTAGTTTTATGGTCAAGCACCTGATTGCAGCTCCGCTGGGCTTCAGCTGCAGAAGGAATAGGCTGTGCTGAACAATGCACCATTACACAAGCAGTTGCCTCCTGCAGCTGTAAGCTGCTTTTCGGATAAAGAAAGAAGAATTTGGTGATCCTGGCCTTGCTCCTTCTTTGTGGGGCTCATAAAACACCCTGGCTGCCCCATTGCAAAGAACCCACCAGATGGGATTAAGAGGATTCAGGGTTGAGATGCACTGGCTGAACTACAAGAGGAAGCTTGTACAGAGCACGCATTGTGTCTAGTTCAAACCACAGCTATTAGCTGTTCACTTTCATGAGTATTAAATGCACTCATAATTAAAATTTAAAAGTCTTAAGTCTATACTATTTTTTCCAAGTCCCAATTATGAGTAATAAGATTTAAGTTTAAGTTTAACTTGTCTCCTAATAGAGGGTAAAGAGCTGTTATAAATCAGTCAAGTAGGAATTGCCATTGAGGAGCTATTAGTGAAGAACTGCTGTCGAAGTAAAACTAATTCATCTCCGTCATTGCAAACAGTTAACTACAGAAAAGTTTCCTGCTTAACTACCAGCACTATTAAATGTCCAGGACTTACATCATTAGACGAGAAAATAGGGAAGAGCACGGGGTTGCTTTGGACTCCAGCTCCTATCTCCTGCGCGGATGGGATTCCCAAGCCCCTTTCCAGCCAAGGCCCATCACCTATAATGGTCAATATATAACAGGCTCATGCCCCAATTGATCACTTAATTAAATATATATATATGTGTGTGTGTGTATTCTTACTCTGAGTACTCTGTTACTATAGTATCTCTTCTATGATATTTTTCCTCAAGACTCTTTTCTTGGCCATCACTGGAAACTCCACATCCCCATAATTTTCTGACCTAACTAAGTGACAAGCTAAGGTTTTTCTTGGGCTCCCTGAGCCCTCTCTGCTCCCTGCAGCTCCTCCTCGCCGCTCTCCCTCTGCATGTGCCTGAGAAGCATCAGATTTCCCATGCTCAGAGCACCCAGGGGGGCTCCGGGGCTCTGGGAGAGGCTGGACCAGCTCCCAGCCGGCAGCACCGCGGAGGCCGATCCCGGGGCCAGGAGCGACTGGTTAATCCACTGTTGGAAGGCGCATTCCCGAGTGTGCCCGGAGAATATTTTACTTTGTAGTTCATAATAAAGACAGCCAAAATGCTCTCCTGTTAGCAGTTACTATGGAAACCGGCAGCAATTTATTTTAAAAGGGGGAAAGGCTCATTTTCTCACTTGTTGCCTGATTTAGTTTTGTTTTCTTCCCTTGAAATCCGCTCTTACACGTAAACCAGCTCCCAAAGCCCACTGTGGCGGGCAGCACAACGCGCCGGCGGGTCCCAGCCGGCCACGTGCCGCCTGCTGCTCCGGCACTGAAGCATCCACGGCCTCGGCAGAGCAACGCGGCGGGACGCGGCTTGGAAACCTCCGCGCCTTTGGAAAACCGCGCCCTGGAAAACCGCGCGGCCGCTTCAAGGGCGCTTTGTCGGATGAAAGTCCGAGCTCAGCTCCCAGACCCAAACTCGCCGAGCTGAGTTTGTTTGCCTGTTGCACGCAGGGTTTGTTAGTGCTCTGTTTGGCTATCACTTCTTCAGCGGTGGAACCGCTTCCCTTGTGTCGCTTTGCTAGTCCATGTTCTGCCTCAGGTTGCTGCTGCTGCTGCAAAACACACGAAACCTGCAGCTCCCCATCTTGCCATCTCCCTTCGCATACCTGTCTTTCTGCAAAATCAAAGTTGCTTGCTGCTGGAAGCATGAGCATCCCTCTTTATGCTGGAAAAACGTAACAGCCTGTGGCTTTATAACACGCCAAACGTAAATCCTGGCCAA